TCCCACAACTCTCCAATATCTGAAGTAATGTAAATCCAGCTAGGGTCCATGCAGGTAGCATTGGTCCTATGGTGATCTAATAATAATGGAAGTATTATCATTATAAGGCGCCAGGCTCTCTTTGACTTTTCTGATTTGACCATGAGTTGATATGACCATAAGCCTGTCCTTCCAAGACGTCTGTTGTGCCCTTAAACGCACAATGGTCTTAAGTGCACAGAAATCATGAATATTCATGAGTGGGCGGAGCTTATGTCACTACGTCACATACACGGCACAGTATCTTCCGCGGAACTAGTAGAGGGAGTTGACCTATGCTGCTTCGTCTGTTATTGCCTTATATAATGTGACAGCTACAATATGCATATGATGTATATGTAAACATGAAGTATACGTGCCGTTTATTCAATATAATGTGCTGTATTGAAGTTTTGCGACGCAACCTACCATGGTGAAGGAGTTCAAGCGAGAAAGCCTCCTCGAGAACAACCACGGTACCTTGCGTTGCGATGGAAACATTCACATGTCAATATTGTCATTGCTCAGTCCTGACTTATCATAACTCTCCAACCAAACAGAATAACATCTCTTGTCAACCAACTAAATACTTATACAATACATATGTTCATGTACGTATATATTGCCAGATCTAATTAAACTCCACGTATTTCAATAGCGTCAGCTCTGATAGGGCGTCTTATGAAGGAAGGAAAGGTTACCCAGGCAGGCCAAAGTATCCAAAGCTACCTTTCCATGGCTATCAAGGCACTACAAAATTGAAACAAATATTTGAGATATATATCCCAGGGTAACCTATCATGGCAACAAATATTTCGGGAATTTGGGTAGTGTATCTGAAGTACCTGAGGAATCCCTCCAAATGGTAAAATTACTAGTTTCTGGTGTGAAGGTGCAGATAAATATATTAAGGATAAAAAAACAACAACACCATGTCAACACCTCGGCCAGTTTAAATGTCTGGCAAAGTATATCCCTCCAAAGATACCATACTGCCAGGGTGTTTTGGTACTTTGGCAAGTCTTACTGAGTTTACTTATTGCCAGTTAAAATCACTTTCAATTATTTCCAACTTAACTTCCCTCTAAAGTAATTAATATCAAATCATTTTCATGGCATTTTCAACACCCCTTTCAACCTGATCCCTTTGACCATGTACAACCCCCTCTAGACTGAAAATTTCATTCAATCTCTACCCCATTTCAGCCTAGCTGGGCCGCTTCCTCGGCGCGTCAAGGCGGACAGTCAGTGTGCACCACAGAGGTTCTGCCAGCTGCCCAGGAGAGCTTCATCCAGCCCAAAGCACCCCAGGGGACTGGTAGGAAATGAAATGCATGTTGTTTTTGCTGTGCCTTTTTTAAAAAGGTCCATTGTGCATTTAAGGTTTTCTGTGCACTTAAGGTTTCCTATAGCAGTCCTTAAGTGCACAGAAAACCTTAAATACAATGATGATCTTGGCCCCTCCCTGGACCCTCTTGGCTGTTTTGGCTGGTGCAGAGGCCCCACCTGATCCCTTGACCATGTACAACCCCCTCTAGACTGAAAATTTCATTCACTCTCTCCCATTTCAGCTTAGCTGGGCCGCTTCCTCGGCGCGTCAAGGCGGACAGTCAGTGTGCACCACAGAGGTTCTGCCAGCTGCCCAGGAGAGCTTCATCCAGCCCCAAGCACCCCAGGGGACTGGTAGGAAATGAAAAGCATGTTGTTTTTGCTGTGCCTTTTTTAAAAAGGTCCATTGTGCATTAAGGTTTTCTGTGCACTTAAGGTTCCCTATAGGAGTCCTTAAGTGCACAGAAAACCTTAAATGCACAATGATGTCTTGGCCCCTCCCTGGACCCTCTTGGCTGTTTTTGGCTGGTGCAGAGGCCCCACCTGATCCCTTTGACCATGTACAACCCCCTCTAGACTGAAAATTTCATTCAATCTCTACCCCATTTCAGCCAAGCTGGGCCGCTTCCTCGTCAAGGCGGACAGTCAGTGTGCACCACAGAGGTTCTGCCAGCTGCCCAGGAGAGCTTCATCCAGCCCCAAGCACCCCAGGGGACTGGTAGGAAATGAAATGCATGTTGTTTTTGCTGTGCCTTTTTAAAAGGTCCATTGTGTGCATTACAAAGGTTTTCTGTTGCACTTAAGGTTTCCTATAGGAGTCCTTAAGTGCACAGAAACCTCTCAATGCACAATGATGTCTTGGCCTCCCTGGACCCTCTTGGCTGTTTTTGGCTGGTGCAGAGGCCCCACCTGATCCCTTTGACCATGTACAACCCCCTCTAGACTGAAAATTTCATTCAATCTCTACCCCATTTCAGCCTAGCTGGGCCGCTTCCTCGGCGCGTCAAGGCGGACAGTCAGTGTGCACCACAGAGGTTCTGCCAGCTGCCCAGGAGAGCTTCATCCAGCCCCAAGCACCCCAGGGGACTGGTAGGAAATGAAAAGCATGTTGTTTTTGCTGTGCCTTTTTTAAAAAGGTCCATTGTACATTTAAGGTTTTCTGTGCACTTAAGGTTTCCTATAGCAGTCCTTAAGTGCACAGAAAACCTTAAATGCACAATGATGTCTTGGCCCCTCCCTGGACCCTCTTGGCTGTTTTTGGCTCGTGCAGAGGCCCCACCTGATCCCTTTGACCATGTACAACCCCTCTAGACTGAAAATTTCATTCACTCTCTACCCCCATTTCAGCTTAGCTGGGCGCTTCCCTCGGCGCGTCAAGGCGGACAGTCAGTGTGCACCACAGAGGTTCTGCCAGCTGCCCAGGAGAGCTTCATCCAGCCCCAAGCACCCCAGGGGACTGGTAGGAAATGAAAAGCATGTTGTTTTGCTGTGCCTTTTTAAAAGGTCCATTGTACATTTAAGGTTTTCTGTGCACTTAAGGTTTCCTATAGGAGTCCTTAAGAGTGCACAGAAAACCTTAAATACAATGATGTCTTGGCCCTCCTGGACCCTCTTGGCTGTTTTTGGCTGGTGCAGAGGCCCCACCTGATCCCTTTGACCATGTACAACCCCCTCTAGACTGAAAATTTCATTCACTCTCTCTCCCATTTCAGCTTAGCTGGGCCGCTTCCTCGGCGCGTCAAGGCGGACAGTCAGTGTGCACCACAGAGGTTCTGCCAGCTGCCCAGGAGAGCTTCATCCAGCCCCAAGCACCCCAGGGGACTGGTAGGAAATGAAATGCATGTTGTTTTTGCTGTGCCTTTTTTACAAAGGTCCATTGTGCATTTAAGGTTTTCTGTGCACTTAAGGTTTCCCATAGCAGTCCTTAAGTGCACAGAAAACCTTAATTGCACAATGATGTCTTGGCCCCTCCCTGGACCCTCTTGGCTGTTTTTGGCTGGTGCAGAGGCCCCACCTGATCCCTTTGACCATGTACAACCCCCTCTAGACTGAAAATTTCATTCACTCTCTCTCCCATTTCAGCCTAGCTGGGCCGCTTCCTCGGCGCGTCAAGGCGGACAGTCAGTGTGCACCACAGAGGTTCTGCCAGCTGCCCAGGAGGGGTTCATCCAGCCCCAAGCACCCCAGGGGACTGGTAGGAAATGAAATGCATGTTGTTTTTGCTGTGCCTTTTTATTTTAAAGCGTCGTAAAGAGCCTTCAGTGCTGACTGAATCAAATGACAGCAGTGATTGGATGATTTTATGTTGTTAAAATGTGCATTCATCCACTAATTAAAACTAACCATATTTTTTCAATGTGTAGTTGCTTCTTTTTAACCTGATTGCTTCTGCAGAATGTGTGCAGAGATATTTTCAAGTAGGTTACATTTTGGTGCGAAACTGGGGTCGGCGCTTTTCACACTCCTGTATTACTCCTCTAAGTTTTACCATGACCCGGAAGGAAAATAAGAGAACGTAGTGCCTTGTTTAAATGCACTGATTTGTCTGTGCTAATTTATTCAGGGTGACTTGTGACAGCTTAAATGAAAGATCAGACATTTTACTTTACTGCCATTTGTTTTTGTCCTCAATCTGCACATGTTATTGACTCCAGCCTTTCATGATTTGACCCCAAGTTCAAGGCTGTTTAGTGTATTTCAGCTCGAAAATTCCGGTGACCGTTGTTGACAGTGGATACAGCAAAACTGAAATACTCGATCCAGACCGATATTTTGATGGGTAAGTGAGAAGTAATAGGTTGGTCAGCATGCCACAGGACAGCCTAGGACAGATATTAATTATGGTGCTCTGGCCATGGCAAGTCACTGTAGATAGTAAAGTGGTCTGAGGCTATATGTACTACATGTATTGGCTGTTAACAGCCTGGTTGTTTTTTAATGTTGCTTTGGAAGTTAATGGGAAAACATTTGATTTTGTGCAACATGTAAAGGTGAGTGCACATTTTAGTAATTCATACATTACATGTATATGCTTTCCTATTTATGTTTCACCATGGATACAAGTTGGCATTGTTATAGAGACTAATTTAAGGAGTGAAGCTAGGGCTGCTTGAGTTGAATGGATTGTTTTAGTGGCCTTGATTTGAATGTAGCCTCGATTTGTGGTCTAATAGTGACAAGAGCCCACATGGTAATGGTTACCTGGCTTCTAAATTTGTTGAAACCGATGAATTGACAACAAATTAGGATAAAGTCACCACTGACACAATTTGGGTGTCTGTGTGTAAAGTCATATGATATGAGTATTGTCAGTATGAAATGTGTTCACTGCTGATGGCACAATATGTCACAAAACCCTCTTATCTAAGTAAACAGTGTTGCATATGATCCATTCTTTCTGTTACACCCTTTTTGCATATGAATAAACTTTTTTCTCTCATGACTTTCAAACAATTATTTAGTTTCTCCAAAAACTGTCTCATGGCTGTTATGGTCTTTATGATTGAACATTTAATATGATCTTGACACTATTTTCAGCTTTGAGAATGACTGATGGTGACTGGGGAGGTGTATCTTTGCACATACAGCAGAATCAGAAGCCTTCACATCCAATGTTGTGTTTCAACAAGTCGGTCTGATGTTGGCAGTGTGTGCACCCTCCTTTAACCTTGATATCCTCTACCACCTTGAACAAGTTGTGGTACTTGAACATGTAGGTACATACAGTACATTTAAGTGCCCCAGTCCAGTTAAGGCTGTATCTCAAATTTCATAACTCTCAACCTCAGCCATTAGATATTTCTGATGAATAATAATCACTTTTGGGCAGGGTAACTAATAAACTTCAGTTATCTGGATTTTTTTCATTTTGTTTTTCATATATGAAATTGGTAAGTCTAGCATTCTCAAAACAGCAAACAGTGAATTTTTTTTATTTCATGGAAGTATTTCGAAGTCTTAGCTTGATGAATTGATAGACTCATGTGTAATTTCGTTTCATGCTGTGGTCTCAAAGAGCTTTCATCTGTTTCAATTTCAATTTCCTGGCTTTAACAGGCAGTAGGGTTCTTTGGTCAGTGTTTCACATTGCTAGGCATATTCCAACCCCTTACTTTATACTTTCTGGCAAAATTCATTATTCAGCCTTACATATGTCAGGACTTTAAAGCTGTTTAATGTGACCCTGGCCAATTTCTGGCCTGAATTCTGTCTTTCTAACTTTGAACAATGTTTCTGATTCCTCTCACTTAGATCACCAGCCTACATCAAAAATGCTTACACAAATGACTTTGGGGATAAACAAAAGATCAGACACTGGTGTTAGCCCTCTCATAAGTGGTTTATCAAACCTGGACAGTTGTTAGTTTACAATATAAGCAATGCAGGAGTGTGTGTTGAAACAGTTTTAAACTATCTCAATCACATCAGGTCAATAATATCAAAACCATATTCTATTAATGTAGCAGACTCTGCTATGATTTGATGATGTCAGCAGAGGAAGGCAAACAACTGACCATTAATGAACAGGAGGTTGCATAGTTACTAGTTTTGAGGTTTAAAGATTTTCTGTCATTCTAAATATGATGTTGCGTGAAATTATCCCATGACACTCTTTTTATGTGACAAATGAATAAACTCCCATGGTATCTGTATGATTATAAAACATTCTTTATTAATGCAGAAATACATTTTGCAAAACATTAATGAAATAGACATAATTTATCTCTTACAAGTTTTTCAGTGTAACAAATCTCTCTGTATCTTGTGCCATATAGACATATTGGACAGGGAAAAGTATTGAAGCTTCATCCAATTCTTTTAAAAAAAATTCAAGTGACATGTACACATATACAGGGCATGGGGTAGTCCACTGGTTTAAGTTTGCTTCCCAGGTCCATTCCCCACATGGATGAAGCCTATATATGGTGTCCCCTGCCGTGATATTGCTGGAATATTGCTAAAAGCGGCGTAAAACTAAACTCAGTCAGTCAGTCAGTCTTAGTTAGAAGATAATTGTTAGTCATGTTAGTGTCTCATTTGCCCTAATTCATAATCAGCCACATATTAAGTATAGGCAGCAGCTGAACTATTTGGGTGCGATTACATCTTGATATGGTATGTTAATAATGGTGTGCATTAATATAGTGTTCAGTGACTGTTTATGTGTTTCATATGTGTTTATTACGTTATAATCTATTGTGCAGTGATATGTTCATTGTACCATACTGTCAGTATGTTTACCCAAATAAACTCTACAGAGTAATCTTAATGCTGATGAGGCAACCACATTAAAATATGTTTTACCTCAGTTTGGTTTGTCTTATTCTTTTCATTTTTTGTGTGGAATAACACTCCATATAGAATAAAGAGGGTCCTTGTGTGTACCTTTTGTATTGTATACATTTGTTAATAACTTTTGTAAGATAACTCAATAAATTATATAACATTATTAACATTAATCACATAATGTGAGATAAAATAGAAACAAACATATGAGGTACAATTGAACCTAATGATGGATTTTGATGCATTTCAGGCTCAACCTTCAAGAAATAGAAGCATTGGTGTTCTTTCAAATGACATCACGACTGCCTTAGATTAAAACTTGAAGGAGGTGACATTCCCCAGAAAAGTAAGATTGTCAAGTTTTATCATTTTTGTAAGAAAATGAACAAGTTTGATTTACCTTTGAAAGAAATCCACAACCCTGTCCATGGAAAATACAGACTGGAAATTATTGATGGGGACAGGAAAATAGTGATTCCTCAGTCTGGACTTCATAATGTCATATCCTACAAATATACACAGCGTTTGTTGGGTTCAGGATCCGAAATTCCGAAAATATTAGAACATTGATAAACCGGTATTATGCTGGAAATTCTTAGGAATCCGTACAGGAGTTTATTGATAAGCAGGGTGACAGGCAATTGTTATCCCAAATTTCCTAATGAAGCAAATTTGAAACCTGATATAGAAAAACACCAGTGGGGCAACATACCATTGACTTTGTGGATCAACTACATAGGATCTACCTTGAGTATGGATTGGGAAATCCAAGAATACCACAATGTGACCAAGGCTCTGAGTTTAAGTGAGCAGTCAACCAATTATTAGTGGTGGTCTGATTAATTGAAATAATCGAAGATTGGTCGCAGTGACTAAATGACCAAGCAATCGAAAATGTTTTCTCATAATCAAACACAAGCAGTTTTGGAACACTTGTTTGCATTAACAATATTTTTTCACAAGGTTGGTTTGTCTGAGTCATTTTATTTACATTTCATAAGCACTACAAGCTTGTTCCAAGTCATTGAATTTATCTTAAAGACTCCTGGAAATTTATGTTCCCCACATACTAGCCATCCTTTAAATATGTGAAGTATGAAAATGCATTTTGTGCAATTTACCCCAAAACCCAAAAAGAACTACATGGGTTTTGTAAATTATTTTGTGCATTAACAAAGGTAACAGGAACATTTGATAAATGATCCTAACCAATTATTTTCGATGATTGATCGGTTGTAATGGACCAATGATCAATTTTAACCAATTCCCAACACTACTAATTATGCATTGAAATGGGAACAATAATTGTCATAAGTCTTAACTCACCATCCCTAATATCAGGGAAGAGTAGGAGATAAATAACAAATAATATATATGGGATCTGAAATATGATATGTAATCTATAAAGGTCATGTCCATGGTTAAGGTCACAGATGTAAAGGCATCTTCCTGATGCTTGATATGAAGGAAATTATTGTTGGTGTAAGTTGGAACATATCAACGTTTGGGCAGAGCCACAAACACAGAACAGATGTATTGGACTTGCAGGTTCCCACTCACTGGTCAGGCAATAAAGGCTCAGCTTTTTTGTGAACAGTTGGTACCACCACAAACTGGTAGTAATTCATGAACACTGTATGCCATAGTCACAATCAGACAATTGACCCCACTTTTGTTAGGATTATAGAGATATTTTGCTAGTTTCATTTGCACATGCATGGCTGAAGATGTATTTGTTATTTTTCCATTAAGTGAATCAATGTATTTGACAGTTCACATCTTTCTGTCATGACACCTTAACAGGTATGCTCCTTTTGGCAATGTTATATACTGTAGTTAGACTTTTTCTGTTTTGATGTTACATTTTAACCTCAATTGTCAAATAAGGCATTTTTAAGTTAAATCTCAACATCTGTGTCTATTTTGTGCACCCTTCATGGTTACTCAGAAAACATCAACACATGGATGCAGTTATTATTTATATTATGGCATTAAAAACAAATGTTTGTGTGTATAAATAACTTCATATGTTTACAGGTTGTTCACCATACCATCCCATGTTGGGCTTGCCCCCAGTCCAGATCAACAGTTTGTTGAGGAAAAGCTTGGAATTCAGTTGATGCCTATTTTTGCTGTGAAGAGGAGCAATCTGAACTGTATGCAGGGGCACTGTTGAATTTTTAGATTTATCATTTAATTAGGCAAGTGGGCACATCTGTTATCCCATGTCATACAACAGTGCTGTATCTATATAGGTGAAAATAGATCCCCAGGAAAAATCCTATGTTGAGTCAGGTGACCAGGCGGTAGTCAGTCTTGGTGACCCTAGTTTATAGTACAGCTGGAGTAGTCTGGGATGTTAATTATAATGCAGAGGCAATTAAAAAGAAAGGTACAGCATCATACAAACATTAAAGGACTGATGAATGCTACATTATTATGATTATTATTATTATGAATGTATGACTTCAGTCTTTGCTGTCAAATGCAAAACTCAGTCACTGAAAAGTACCAGGGTACCATTTCTAATTCATGGCATTACAAGATATTGAAAGCTTTAAGAGTAGGGAGTGAGTGAAAGATTTCGGTGTAGTCATTATTATGTAACTTGTGCTCATATGCTTTAGGATTAATGGTATGTTCTCTTATGTTTACACTTCTGGTGATTTTATGCACCATTGAAAGGAAAAAGGATGTAGATTTCTGTGCCCTCTTGTTACTGTTTTCACAAAGCTATGATTTAAAAATCAGTTTGACAAAGTGTATTCATATTGTATCTTAACATTCCCATGTTTTATGTATTTTTTTTATTTGTTCCTATAGTCAAAGGTATACAGTAACAACAAACACAGAAAAGGTGTAAAGATGTAATTATAATTTGTTGCTGAATATTGGCATGAGTGAATTTCATTTAAGACTTAAGACTGAATTTATCAATTTCATTGTTTCCCTTGAAAATAAAGTTTTGAACGGAAAATATCTCTTTTGATGCCATTTTATATTTAATGAATTTTGGAATTGATTTTTTAAATTTACATAAATTGATATGTTTTTTTGCAGAGATAATGATTTGATTTAGTAATACATCATTATGTTATGTACCAAACCAAATCAAATATTTGTAATGTTTATTTTTCATGGTAAATAGTTATTAATTGATTTCGAGATCATTCCAGAATTTTATGGTTTAACAACAGTCCTAATAAGCACAACAATTGCTCTCAGAAACATCATTGCAAACTAACGGTAGACAAATCATTGTCAGTCAGGTTCATTTTGAATAATTATATTTTAGTATAAATAACTATTTGCAGAAATGTGTATTGAAAATTCACAATCATTGAATATCATTTCCCATTTAGTACAAATCTCAAGTTTGTCATTTTTAGAAATACACTTGTCATTAAGTAATCTTGAACCCTTTGAGGGTTTTAATATATATTTTATAACTTATCCTATCTCACGGTATGCACCATCTCTCTCTTCTACGACCATGTGTGGAAACGTGCTGTCAGCTAAGTTGAGTCAAGTCTAACTGGCCTCTGACCCGCCCTGACCTCTGCCTTCACCCTGACACTCTCTATCTCATCTCTCTCTCTCTCTCTCATCTCTCTCTCATCTCTCTCTCTCTCATCTCTCTCTCTCTCATCTCATCTCTCTCTCTATCATCTCTCTCTATCTCATCTCTCTCTCCATCTCATCTCTCTCTCTCTATCATCTCTCTCTCTCTCATCTCATCTCTCTCTCTATCATCTGTCTCTCTCTCTCTCTCTCTCTCTCTCTTTCTCTCTCTCACACACACACACACACACACACACACAAATTCTAATTTCTAATAACAAAAAATTGCACTCGACTGATTTTTATGTCACTGGATGAACATTAGTTGATGGTAACTTAGTGGTAAATAAAATCATCACTTTTTAAACAAGTTCATGGTCAGCACAGGTATGGATGGTATTTAGTTCCTAAATGCAAGAGGTAATTCGTTTAGAGTGTGTGATGAAGCATTTGTTGATATTTAGCAATTTCTAGAGCCAACAAAGAAACAGTACATTTTTTAACCATTTACAATGATCCACTCTTATATGAACCCATGAAGATACGGGTTAGAATTGATCTTCAGTAACCCATGCTTGTCGTAAGAGGCGACTAACAGGATCTGGTGGTCAGGTTTGCTGACTTGGTTGACACGTCATCTTATCCCAATTGGGTAGATCGATGCTCATGCTGTTGATCACTGGGTTGTCTTGTACAGACTCGATTATTCAGAGACCGCTGCCATATAGCTGGAATAGTGCTGAGTGTGGCTTAAAACTTAACTCACCTACTCAGTCTTATATGTACCCTGAAATGAAAACATTGCTGATGCCTGGATTTGTACCAAAGTAGGTAAAATATCATATTTTTTCACATGTATTGTCCTAACAGACTCATTGCCAGATGCAAAAAGAGGAGAAACCCATGACAAAAGGTTATTACAATTTGAGACACTTTTAAGAAATATTATAATGGTAAGCATTGCTTTATGCTAAAGGAACATGTTTGCACTTGGTGATAAATAATTTTACTTTTCAGGAAGGGAGAACAGACTCCAAACAAGAGTAGATGTGATGACACCAAGAAAGGTATTAGCTGATGGGTATAGTATATGGTACTAATAAACTCAAGATGAATCATAATTTGGTATGCAAATGCTAAGATGAGGGATACTAGAAGGTACAAACTGTAAAAGAACTGGAGCTATAGGCCTCATTTTGTGATCTTGAGTTTGAACAAGAAGGGCAGCTAACTGCATATCTATTGCACTGTCTCAAAACCACCAAAATGAGATCAGTTTTGAAACATTTTTAAAAGAAACATGAATGTTTTGTTTTGTAACAGTGTAATGATGCAACATGTTACATCTTGGTGCAGAATAGAAAAAAGTGGATATGTAATGTCTGTTTAAGGGAACGTGTGTGTGTGTGTGTGTGTGTGTGTGTGTGTGTGTGTGTGTTTATTTATTTATTTATGTGTGTGTGTGTATTTATTTATTTATTTATGTATGTGTGTGTGTGTGTGTGTATTTATTTATTTATTTATTTATTTATTTATTTTATGTCTGTCTGTCTGTCTGTCTGTCTGTCTGTCTGTCTGTCTGTCTGTCTGTCTGTCTGTCTTTCTTTCTTTCTTTCTTTCTTTCTTTCTTTCCTTTCTTTCTTTCTTTCTTTCTTTCTTTCTTTCTTTATTTCTTTATTTCCCTGTGCATTCATTAGGCACCACCCTATTTTGAAAATAAGATGTGATGCTTCAGAAAAGTTAGGGTATAGCCATCAATTTAATCAACCTGTAGTTACAAAAACCTTTATCCACTGACAGTTTTACAGATACCATAACCTTTTCTCTATTCTTTATGAAAGAATATGTTGATTAAAATGTGATTGGACTGAAATTTTACCCAAAATAATTATTCCTCTCCTGCTCAAACTACACAATTGAATTACATTTTGACTAAGAATAACAATTCTGTTATATACCAAGATGACATTTACACATCAAGTAAGCTTTAATTACGAATAATCAGGAAGAACCCGAATGTCAAAGATTCAGACATTTTTCCAACAATTCAGATTGCTAATTGACAAAACTGAAAAAGGCCACATTAATAAGATTTTGGAATAAATGTTTTATGATTTTGAGTTTATTGTAATGAATAAACACTTCCCCTTGCCAGATACTGATAATTACAGCTAAAATCTGTTTGTTTTGTTTGTAAAGCAACTTTTAATGCATTTTAAAATTTGCCTTTTTTTAGTTTGACTGTAACTTTTCCTAAATCTTAGTTTACAAACTTTCATCCATTCACAATAAATAACAGATGTATAGGCCACACAACAATCAATTATTACTTTCACTTTTCAAAACACCTGTTTTAATATGGGCATTTATCCTAATCAAAATTTCAATGATGTTTTCGTTTTGGAAATGTTAAATGCTTGCTCTATCAAATCATAAAGGTTATTTTTTGGAAAGAGTTGAGAATTTTATTTAAGACAAAATTAATTTGTAGAAATAGAGGGTGGGTTGGTTGGTGGGTTGGTTGATGCACAGAGGGTGGGTTGGTTGGTTGGTTGGTTGGTGGGTTGGTTGATGCACAGAGGGTGGGTTGGTTGGTTGGTTGGTAGGTTGGTTGGTGGGTTGGTTGGTTGATGCACAGAGGGTGGGTGGGTGGGTTGGTTGGTGGGCTGGTTGGTTGGTGCACAGAGGGTGGGTGGGTTGGTTGGTGGGTTGGTTGATGCACAGAGGGTGGGTTGGTTGGTGGGTTGGTTGGTTGATGCACAGAGGGTGGGTTGGTGGGTTGGTTGGTTGATGCAAAGAGGGTTGGTTGGTGGGTTGGTTGGTTGATGCACAGAGGGTGGGTTGGTTGGTGGGTTGGTTGGTTGATGCACAGAGGGTGGGTTGGTTGGTGGGTTGGTTGGTTGATGCACAGAGGGTTGGTTGGTGGGTTGGTTGGTTGGTTGGTTGATGCACAGAGGGTGGGTTGGTTGGTGGGTTGGTTGGTTGATGCACAGAGGGTTGGTTGGTGGGTGGGTGGATGGTTCGTTGGTGGGTGGTCGGGTTGGTTGGTTGGCTGGCTGATGCACAGAGAGTGGGTTAGTGGGTTGGTTGATGCACAGAGGGTTGGTGGGTTGATGCACAGAGGGTGGGTGGAGTGGGTTGGTTGGTTGATGCACAGAGGGGTGGGTTGGCGGGTGGGTGGTTGGTTGGTGGGTTGGTTGGTGCACAGAGGGTGGGTGGGTTGGTTGGTTAGTGGGTTGGTTGATGCACAGAGTTGGTGGAGTTGGTTGGTTTATACACAGAGGTTGGTGGGTGGTGGGTTGGTTGGTTGATGCACAGAGGGTGGGTTGGTTGGTGGGTGGGTTGGTTGATGCACAGAGGGGTTGGTTGGTGGGTGGGTGGATGGTTGGTTGGTGGGTGGTCAGGTTGGTTTGTTGGTTGGTTGATGCACAGAGGAGGGTTGGTTAGTTGGTTGGTTGGCTGGCTGATGCACAGAGAGTGGGTTAGTGGGTTGGTTGGTGGGTTGGTTGATGCACAGAGGGTTGGTTGGTTGAAGCACAGAGGG